ATTCACTCCCAGAGTTAACAAGTTGTCACCAGTGACCCTGGGAGATGTGTAAAAAAGGTTGCCAGGGAAGGCCAGGGGGAGGCTGCTACAGGCACAAACATGCACTGAGAGAGGAAGAATATGCACAAACGAGAGACAGGATGAGTTGCAAGAATGCACAGTTGCCCAGGCAGTACTTCTATTTTTTGCCTGTCATCAAACTTCTCTGAACAGAAGGTAGTAATAGACCAAACCCCAAATTCAGGGCTGTCAGAAATGCTGCTTCTCATGGACCACAGGCAGAATCATCAGAGCTGCTGAGGAGATAGAGACAGCAGATCAGTCACGGAAAAATCACTGTACCTACTCTCCATTACTCCTCCACCTCAAAGAAATTTACCATAATGCCTAAATTAATTCAACAGCTAAAGAGAAAAGGACAGCAGCATGAGAGGCAAGGAACAGACACGTGGCTATGCTGGCACAGGGCTGGACTCAGTGCTGTTGGTCTGCTGCTGCTCTGGCACTTTCATGCTGCTTAGCTAAGGAGGTGTTAAGGTCAATGCAATTTGCTCAAACCAAACTGAAGGCCTATTGTACAGCCCCCAGTGCCTATTGCCTTCTTCCTTAATTTCCTCCAGAAGGATCAGTGCAGCAGTCACCGAGTTAGCTTGCACCTAGATACTGCACAAACAAATAGGCTCTTACCACTTGGCAAGTGCTGCACAGGACAGCAGTTGGGCAGCTTCTAACTTGCAAAAGACTGCATGGAGCTTGAAACAAATGATTTGGAAGAGAATTAAGTCACTATCAACCCTTAAGATGCAGAACTACAAGGCAACACATACGTAACTAAGAGAAATAGATTTATTATTATTAAAATTTGGTGTTACCTGCGAAGATCCCTGGGACAACATCTCACTTCTAGCTGCAAGCTCGTATGTAGCTAGCTCTTTCCCAGGACCCCTACTTTAACATCCATGCTGCTTCTGCAATAATAAGCCCATCCTCGCCTAGCTCCCGAGTCTTGCAAAAAATGACTGTCCCATCAGCTGCTCACCTTTCTATCACTCTGAGAATCACCTCGCATATTAGCACATCTCTTGGTTATTCTAGTATTGCTCTTCTAATGGCTCTAATAGCTCTTCAGATCCTGTCTAGTCAGGCTCCAAGCCTAATTTCTTATTTTACATGCCACACTTCCAAAATTTAAAATATAAACTGGGCAAAGAATGAAGCCATTTTCAGCTTCCCTTTATATCAGTAAATCACAATTACCCTGTGATGTTTGTCTGGGGTCTTTCTGGCAAAACTCAGTTTTAGTGGAAACAGAGAAGTTGCTTATACCAGCACAGAACAAAGTCTCAAAAGAGATCAGAGACTCTTCCATATCCTCACAAGTCCAAAGGATATATACTTAGCAATATCAGAGCAGAACATCTGAAACCTAGAACACACAGTACATGTACCCCTAACAGTAAATGAAACTGGCATGAAGCAGTGACAATAGCAGTTGCAGATTCCAGTGCCAGAAGCTTTCAGGAATGTCTTCTGTCCCCATCACTAGGGTTTATGCAACTATTTGCCAACAGGTACTCAAAAGTTAATTTAGGTTCCAAATCAACAAGCTTCATTCTCAAACACCCAATTTTTTTACCTTTATTTTGCAACTGAGAATGCTTTCAAGAGAATGTTCTTCCAAGAGGAGTTCTGGTAAGGTCTTGGCTTCAGTGACAAAAAATTAGTTGCACTGAATAATGAAGAATCACTTCCATATTTGTTGCCTTATATTACATTAGCAAAATAGATAAAAATTATATATGGGATTTTACATACTTCTATTACAAAAAATATATACACACGTTTACATATAGCAGAATGTGAAAGGGTGACAATCCTGCCTGATGGATAGAGTGAGAAGTTGAGATTGAACTAAAAATAGGATTGAACTGAGATAGGACTAGTGTTAAAGTAGGAGAGAGCAGATACAGAATAGCCTCAAAGAGCTACAGAGGGCAACAAAGACAGGGCTCCAGCAAACACGGCAGAGATTGTCAGCCATGTTATGGTAGTCAGAAGAAAGCCCATATACAGCTCGGAACACCTCATCTCTTGTGTAGTCCTGCAGGCTTCTGTGTCTGAGGCACAGTGAAAGCCTAAGCCATCACTGGAGTGGGAAGTGCACCAATGCTTATAGAAAGCGACAAAAATCTCAAAAGGCACAGCAATGCAGATTTATAAAATAACATTTTAATGTATCCAGAACTGTTCTCTATCTCTATATTGCAAACTCGAGATCTCCTTTGCCTTTTGGCAAGCAGACTACTGATTTGGCACCGTATCTCATACAGCCAAAAAAATTTCAACAAAGAAAGAGATACTTTGAGAAGCATTTAAGTAAGGCAGTTCTGGGAGGCTGGGAATTAGAAAAGAGGAAGAAGATTTGTCAGTAAGACTATGCTGAATCCTACAGATTGCAAGCATCAAAACAAAATTTTCAAAGAAATCTCAACAGTAGTAAAATGGCTTGGTTTTACCACAGAGCCATACAAAAATTGTAAGGACTGTGTTTCAGAGGCAGATGTTTGAACTGGAGCCAAGTGCAAGCCAGATAAGAGACCCATTTACAAAACATTTCCATCCTTGCTGAATTCTACAACTGGTAGACCAGAACCTTAATGGAACAAAACAGGAAGCTTTTTTCTTCAAACAGCCACTCAGCACTGCGCACAGGCTGACGCCCATCAGATGACCCTCTAGATGACAGCTTGCTCCAGTGTGACAGAGCAAGTAGCAAAAAAGGCATTTAGAATAGAAGATAGCCATCTCCATATATCGTGACCTTGGCATTCCTTTTGGAATTCTCCCATTAAATGAAAGTTCACAGCCCAAGTAATTCAGCACTGAAAAGAATCCTTTTTTTTTTTCTTTTATTCCCAGGTTTACATAAAGCTTTTACCTCCTGGTATTCTCGCCAGGAGAGAATTCTTTTCAGCCACAAAGATAAAGTAATTCAGTAAAGTCTTAAGACGTCTTTCCATCTCTTGTTCTGAGGATTAGAACAGAACAACTGAAGTACTGAAAAACTAAATGGTTCATAAAAGGTTTGAAGATGGGATCTTATACCAGTTGTGACCAGACAATTCTGAAGTACTTTTGGATTACTGTACAAAATAAAAGAGAATTTCTAAAGGCATTAAACTATGCATACAATGCTAGATGAGGCAGAGACCTCGAAGTCATTCAGAGTGGAGTTCTGGGCATCAAATGATGGGTTCTTAGACCTACAGGAAATTGTTTCAAGCAACATGGTAATTACAGTGACTCCTGCAGAGTTCTGCAACAGAAGATTTTGAGCACGCATAATCTTTCTCCACCTATGTGTGTGAGTCCATGCAGAGGTGAGAGCAGAGCTGAGAATGGAATGGAAGCTCTAGGACAGCCTGCACTCTGCTGCTCTCTCAAGCTATGTAGGAAGGGAAGGTAGTTTACACCTGTTGGATAGGTTCTTTATTTGGATTAGGTCATAGCTTGCCTGGCTGAGCTCCAAGAGCAGAATCACCACCACCTCTCTCAATAACTCTAAACCCCAGAGGCAAACATAATACTGGAACAGAAACAGGCCAGGAATTCATTTCTCACATTCCTCTTCTTTAGGCAGGATGAAAAGCAGTGCGGATGAAATAAGAATGATTTTACTTCAGCTTGCCAGGCCCCATTCCAATCCTTCTATTGAAGGACCCATTTGGGAAAGGATGACCACTCAGGTCACATGCCTCCTTCTGCACTGTGTCTGACTCTCTCACCTCCCTCCATTTTCTGGTAGTATTCAAGCAGCAGTGACAAGAATCAATATTTTCATGTATACAGTGCTTTCCAATCCTAAACTCATGTGCTGGAGAAGCTGTGTCTCCTTATTCTAATTTAAAAGACAAAAATGAAGGCTTAGGTGAAAGAATAACAGTATTTACTGAAGTGGCAAGGAAAGAACTCAAAACTCCAGCAGTTCTGGGCCAGTATTCAGCATAGCTCACCCTGCCCGTAGCTTCCAAAATCCAGAATCCCTGGGGCAAACCTTGCCGCTCTTTCAATCCCAGCAAGAATGGTTTTAATGCAGAATCACAGTCTTTGCCCTGAGTCCCATGATATTGGCAATAAATATAAATTCTAACATCCAAAATTAATAAAGACCATAATGAAGCCATCTGAAAAAGAAACTTTATAACATAAACACTGAAAGATACTGCTCTATCTTTGAACAATCTAAGCTTGACATTCAAGGAAGAAGCATAAAGATGCAGCCTTGCTGGAGATTTTTCGCAGTATCGGGTATAAGTTTGCATTCTGCATGTATGTCTCAACATCAGCAAACCTAAACTTAAAAGACGCAGGGATGAGAAATGGTCAAACAGACATTTCCCTTTCATTATAGACGTTCATCCATCTCCTTATTTCACCATGAACCTGAGAGCTCTGGGAACGTAGCTCTATTTTCATAGGCCTAGTTTCTAGGATAGTCCTAAGAAGATAGGCCCTTACACAGAATCATAGAAGCATTTAGGTTAGAAAAGACCTTTAAGATAATGTATTTTAAATACCTCCAGGTATGCTAACTCAACCACTTCCCTGGGCAGCCTGTTCCAATGCTTGACAACACTTTCTGTGAAGAAAGTTTTTCTAATATCCAGTCTAAACCTCTCCTCAAGCAACTTGAGGCCATCTCCTCTTGTCTTATTCCTTGTCAGTTGGGAAAGAAGAGACTGACACCCCTTCACTACAATGTCCTTTCAGGTAGTTGTTGAGAGCAATAAGGTCCCCCCTGAGCCTTCTCTTCTCCAGACTAAACAACCCCAGTTCCCTCAGCCGTTCCTCATCAGACTCGTGCCCCAGGCCCTTCACCAGCATTGCTGCCCTTTGGACATGCTCCAGCATCTGAGCAAGAAGCCACACACAAACTACAAGTGAGCTCCTGAGCGCATTGCATTTTTCTTCAAAAAGCTGGAGCAGGAATTTTAACTTACCTGACAGCTGAAGAGACAGGCCTTTTGTCAGCTCTATGGGCATCTGACTGCACAGCCAACAATGACCCTCTTTTGTTGAGTGATGACTGGTAGCTCTGTGGGGTGGCTGCATTCCCCTTGCTTATAGCTCCACTTGCCAAGTTCAGGTTTGTTAACTAAAGGGGGTGGGAGGAAGAGGAAAAAAACAAACAAAAACCAAACATCAGAAACAATTAAAAGCCAAGAAAAGAGCAAAAGGTGTCACCAAGTAAACTGGATAGACTATGTACTAAGAGAAATAAGACTACTAGAGAAAGCAAACATTCAGATGCAGGACTGTGCCAGTTGCATAAAGCAGTGGGAGAGATGACACCAACCTCCACCATGCTTGAGATGAATTCAAGTACCAGCATTAAAAGTACAACCCTTCCATTCATAGAAGAACAAAGGAGGAAAGACAAAGATGGATCAAAAATCCCAGAGTAAGAAAGCAACATCACATTCCTGTCATGTGAAAACTTAACTCTACATGCACTAATCAAAACCTAGAAACTCACATTACACTGAGCAGAGACCAGTGTGCCCAGTCAACATAAGCTGTTTCACTAAGCCAGCCATATACACTTGTCCTCTCTACCCCTCTCTATGCACCCATACAGGCACAATCCAACAGCATATGTACCTTGTATATATAATTCAAAACCAAACTCTACCACAAATGAAAGAAACTTCTCACATAACCACTTCCAATCTGTTTATACAAGTAAATATGCTGGCTAATGATAGGCTAAAATTGTGTTAGGTGTGTGTTTGTTATACCAAGCTCTAAAGAAATTATCCATGTGGATTTAAGAATACGAAGTGTATGAACTCAGTATGAACTGAGCATTCTTCTTTCACTGGTTATCTTCTTGACAGATCAAACTCTGCGAACAGACACTATCTGTTGGTTTATTGAAGAGAGCCTAAAAAAATGTAACGAAGTGGTATCTACTACAGCAGGATAAGTATTAGTTTATATTTGGGAAAAGAATTATGAAGCTTACAAGACACTACAAAGGTTGCAAAACAGGGATTCTCAGTCAGGCATTGCAAGAATTAAGTTTATTACTGCCTTTAATTACACGATCACATGTTGCTTTTTAGGAGCACAGAACAGAGCTAGGTCTGCACCAAGACTAAGGCCATATGGTAAGCAAAACTTATCTATATGGCCCCTGCTTGCTTCTGTGGCAACTGGAAGACATATAGCCAGAGAGACACAGGACACAGAAGGAAGAGTATAACACCTAATCCTGCACCTGCTCCAGACCTCAAAGGTGATGCTTGTTAAGCCACTTAAGTATGACTTAAGCATAGCTCAAGAATTCCCAGCTTTGAGACCTTAACAATGCTCTTTTACCAGAATTTGTGTGCAATACTCCAGTGCATACCAGCTTCATTGCAATACACTGCACTCATACCTACAACAGACTTGTGCAGGACTGCAGATTTCATATTCTCTGACTGAACTCTGGCATGAACTACTATTGCAACTGGCAACACAGGAGATTCCCACTTCTCCTGTGGTTTAGTACTATGAGGCACCTAAGCATTTTGTAAATTCAGAAATCTTGACTCCCACTTCAAGTTATGGACAGGATTAAATTATAGCAGTTACGCAGTGGGCTTCTGCTCACTGCTCCAAAAGCAACCTTTTTTGCCTCATCCCTTCTGAGCCTTATCCTTTCCTGTTCTTACTCCTTGTCTATCCTTTCCTGTTCTTACTCCTTGTCTGTGTCTTGTTATTCTCACTTAGTCAGTCACAGCTTCCATGTTTCAGGTGTCATTCTCCATATTCTGCTCAGTTTCATTCCTACAGACTTCCAGCACTGGCTTCTCCACTACTTCTGGCCCCTGAGCCACACAGTTTCAAAGCCTGGAACTCTCCATGGGAGTAGTTAGTTGATCTGTCTTCCCACACGTTTGTTCTTTGTTACTCTTCCAGCTGCTCTTATGCCCTAGAAGCAAGCTTAGCCACAGGCAGTGCTACCCATCTTACATGGAAAATTACTAAAGGCACTTTGGTGCCTCTACCTCACCCTTAAATGCTGTTGTCTTCTGCAGAATTTAATTAAAATTTAAAGCATTTCATTGCAAGAACAGAAAGCTTCAAATTAGGTTTAGTTCCAGTTGTGCCAGGCACTATACAAATACCTAAACAATGACAGTTTCTGGCCACAAAGAGTTTATTGTCTGAAAAGAAGCAAGAATGGCAAATGAGGCAAACACAAAGGAAATAGGATATATACAATTCTTAGCTTGTCAGCAACAGTGATCACAACTTTGCTAACACATTCAATATGTGAAATGAAGATGACTTTATCCATTTTTTTCATCATCTTGATACTAAGAACCATTTAGCCTGATGAATTACCACCTCACCCCTGCTCTACTAATGCAATCTGCTTTCCTCTCTAATACTGTATCATTGTTTATTTGAAAACTGTCTTTCTAAGCAAAGCACGTGAGCAAATAGCTTAGTATGGTAGTAGGGACATTTCACACATTCCACATAGACAGGTGTTTAAACTACAGCAGGATTAAATACAGACAAGGGATTCAGAATGAGGGAGAGAACACCAGTAAGAGCGTAAGGTTTAGCTGCAACCAGCCCACCCAGATGGGTGTTACTGCTTGTTACTGTGCCGTGCGCTGAGACATTTCAGCTGCTATAATTAGCTTGCCAGGATGTTGCCGTGGTGGATTGCTGGGACACCCCCAACACATTTGTGCTCCACAGAGTAGCTTCATTTTCTAGTCACTAGTCTTCCTGCACATTTGATGAAACCATATTCTTCCCTTTATGCAGGCAAATACTTGGCAGCAAATCAGTTGTTACTTTGGCTTAAGATAATGGATAGCACTTGGACCAAAGGACATATCAAAATCTCCATAAATAAAATGTGGTATTGGGAATCAAAACAAAACAAACCACCTCACCCTTCCCCCAAAACCAAGAAAGGCAGGTTAGTGGGGCTCAACAAGGAAAGTGATTATTGGTGTGCAACTACAAGAATAAAGTTAGTTTTCACAATGAGTTCAGACTCTCCTGCTTGGTAAGATTCCTGTTTTTCACTAGAAGTAAGGGACTTCACAATATTTTTTCTGACACTATGACAGGAGACCTGTGTGTGCTGCACTGTGCTCTTCAGCATCCCTATATTCAAACATCTCTGCTCACATTAAAACATTTTCTGTGGAGTCTGTAAAAGGCAAGATAATACACAGCTAATACTCCCCATAATAGAATGATTCATAAGGTTTTACTACAAGTTTTAAACTGTTGGGACAGCTGAAAGGAACATGCTGAGTGAACAACACAATGGGACAGTAAATCCCAAAGAGCTCACATGGAAAGAGGAGAGCCCACTTTATGTAATTCTAGTTGTTATCTAACATCAAGAAATAGGGGAGGAAAGAACACGTGGGTTGTCACAGCCATACTGATAAACAGAGCCTATTGTCAGAAAGCCTAACGGCATATATATGTACTGTTATAATCAGTTTAATACTAATAAGCCAAAAAGCAAATTATTGCATAATGCCAAATTACTTTTACTAGGGGTTTTTTAATTATTTTTAAGCATTACAAGGTAAGTTTATGACAACACACTTGCCTTCCTGAGAGCAGGCCCACATAAGCTTAAGAGAATTTGTCTCTATGTTTTTGCTTTATTCAGAAAAATCTATTTCTCAATAAATTTAAGATTGAAAGCAAGGCCACAACGCAGAATAGTATTGGAAAGTGCCAGATATAAGAGTTGAGATTTTTGGTTTTGTTAATCAGATTTATAATTAAAATAGGAAAAATGAAATCTCCAAACACAAATAGGAAGAAAGAAAACTCCAGGATAGAATTTTGAATTTGTTTCTAATGAATAGCATTCTACAGACAAAGACCCATTGCACAGTACCTTTAAGAAATCACAAGTAAGAGTCAGAAGAGGAGCTTAATCTCTTTCACATTTCTGATCTACATTATAATATTCTTTCAATGTTTCTCATTATCACATTCAAGAATTTTTTTTCTATAATATTTTCATTTTGAACTTGTCTAATATTTCAAATAAGCTAAAGCAGAAAATGTCAACAATGGCCAAAAATTAAAAAGTATATATATACATATATATATTTATATGTGCTGTAGATCAGTCTCAACAAATTCAGTAAAAGCCTCTAAAAAAGGCTCCTAAAAGCCTAAGTGTTTCTCTTGCTGGTTTGCAGGAGTCAACCAGGGTGAACAAGGACACATCATCTCTTGAAGTTGCCCTCTTGGCACAGAGTGGAACAGTGACCTAAATTTTCATTACCAATACCTTGAACAGCAGATCCCGAATTTCACTGGTCAGTGTGTCACAACTCTGAGCAAGCAATACAATACAAAACCCCTAAAACTCCCCAGTTGGCAGTATTTTTCTGCCAGAGGCCAGTCATATCCTCTTGCCTGTAAAGTGCTGGGGACTGGAGAACTACACAGTCTAAAGATGACCACTTCTCTTACTTGGAGCCACACTTGAATCCTTTCCATTTCACACATCTCATTTCCATTTGGATTTGACTGGTGAGGAGGAGAAGGAATCCAAGCCGTATTTTGAAGATCAAGACATGCCAAAGGAACATGGTGATCATAGGCCTACTTCATTGTCTCTCCCCAAAAAAAACTTCAATATGATAAAAAGTTCACAGTCTGAAACAGGAGGAGACTTAATGCCACAAATGTACCCTCTCAAGAAGTTTCAAAGGTATATATGAACACCAACAGCTCACTGAGAAACTTTTGTCTTTAAAGAAAGATTGGACATGGATCATTTTAAGGATGTAAGATCATTTTACTGGTAAGATCACTCCTCCTCTACCTTTGACCAGACCAGAATCTTTAGGTTTTGATACTTCAGATAGGACAAAATGACACTGTATCATAAGCTCAAAGGAACAAAGCATTCCACTAGAAAACTGAGAGCATACAAAATGTCCCATCATTTGCAATATATTCTCCTTTACCTTTTCATCTGTTTTTCCCTGTGTGCTCCGTTTGACTCCTTCGAGACCCTTCCGTCAATCCCTAATTTTCCATTTTAATACTGTTCATCCAGCAATGTCATCTTTATCCAACAGCCGTAAAAGAAATGTTTCT